AGACAAATCGAATGGGTACCCCGATATCAGTAGATCGACATATTAATTTATTTGAACGCTACAGAAAAATAGCTTAGAAGTAATTACTTGAAATTACTTCGATTTATTTTATTGTACAAAGTGTTTAAATCGAAATTTTTTCAAATTTTGCTTTTATCGGGTTCGATTTGTCTCGAGCAGTTGGTACCCGATAATTATTTGTACTCGCACATTTAACACAACTTATAATAATGCATGTATTTTATTATCCGTAAATATAGTCGTTCGTAACCACATTTTCATATAAATTGTTATGTCCATTTATTTTTCAATAAAAAAATATATTTCTTAATAATAGAAGAACATGTTTTTCGCGCAATTTTCAATCTCGTGAATTGAAGATAATGACAATGGTAACTGTCGTTGATTTGTTACCGAAATCATTGCTATCGGGAGCAGTCCGGAAGATCCGGAATTCGTTCCCTTCTGCAGCGGCTCTGACGTTCAACGGATCACTTAATTTTTCTTTGCGAATCGATCTTGCAAAAACTGATGTAGAAACAAGACGTTGGTCGTTCTCCACCTTTAGGATCGTTCTATTAATCGAATATTAACCAGCGTATCACTCGGCGAAAGGAGGTCCTTGATAAAATTGGGTCTATTATTCTCTATAAAACGTGGCAATAACGTGATTTTTTATAATGATATTTAAAGGCTTATAAGACCCATTTTATTCTGTTAAAACAATCATCCGCGAGATATTAAAAGTCGAATTAAGAAATTAATTTAAACAGTATACATTTGTTTAGAAGAAAAATACATTTTCTTCTTTTAAAAATTAAAAATGTTCTTCTATCATTATTAGTATTAATATTATTATTGTTTTTACGAAAAAGAAAGACTTAACAGTAGATTAAACATGGATATAGCTATTGTATATAGATTTATATTTTTTTAGTAATTTCTAATTGCTATCAGTTTGTCTATTTTTGTTGACTTTTTTGATAAAAAAATTATGGTTACAAACAAATATATTTTAATAATTAACTATTAATTAATATAATTTTTGGTTTTTGTTGAGAAACTATTTCTAGGCACTTGGGATATTAACATCAGTTTTTGGTTTCTTTTAAGAAACTATTTGCAGATACTGGACATCTATTCTGTTAAAACAATCATCCGCGAGATAGAATACATATCTTATTGTTGATCGCGACGTTCGTATAAAATTGCGTACTGGAAAATAAATCGGGCGATGGATGCTATATAACAAATCTCGAATGTCTGTCGAAATATGTTTGCATAAAATGATAGTGATTATATCACGCGCGCGTGTGTATGGATTTTGATTATTATAGAAATTACGCGTATCGCAATCGAATATTATGAATATCGTCGGTTTATTTATTTGTCGCGTTTGCTCGGAAATTTTAAATTGCGATTTGTTTTATAATTTAATCGTTGATGTACATCGAAGCTTTGTCTATTTTTTTGAGTCTTGAATTTTTTCTTTGAAAGTGTGCGCAAGATGCACCAATAGTACACAAGTACTTTCTTTTACAATTAAAGACAATTAATAACATTATTAATGACTCTTTTGTTCGCAATTCTTTACATTATATAAAACTTATTAAGCTTTATAACTGTATATCTATTATTAATAATAAATATTATTCTAATAAATTTTTTATTATACGCATATTTTGGACATTTTCGTGTAATAAATTATTTTGTATTAAATTTCAGATTATATTTTGTATGTTAAATTTATTTTATCATTTTGTTTATAGTAGAATAAAAATAAAAATAAAATAAACCCCCCAATCCTGTGAAATGAAAAAGAGGAAAACTGTCCTCACACATTTTTCCTCCTCGATGGTATCTCCACCTTAACGAAGGCATTTGCCGGGTGAGGAGGTTTGAGTACTCGGTAGGGTCACCCATGCCGGACAGGTCGAAGGGGAAGAGTCAGACTAAGAGAGATACTGTAGTTATATTTTTTATGTTAATATATTTAAATAAAATGAAAGTGGAAAAGACAATAATAAAGAAAAAGGAGTTTTAGTTGTTTTTGAAATTAATGTCGTATAAATACATATCTATGTCCTGAGAAAAGTATTATTTTCGCATTTCCAGTCTTTTATTAAAATTCCGAATAGAATTCCACAAAATAGAAAAAAACATTCTTAACATTTTATACGCTAAAAAAACAATATTGCACAAGATATCGCGATTTTTTGACATTTTATGACATTTTGTGAAAATCTGACAGCTGATAGTATCACCGACGATATAAATGTGAAAAAATTAATTAACGCTGTCAACAATTAAAACTACTTAAAAAACAATAGAACACGGTTAAAACTATAGGAAAATATAATTAATTATGCTTATATTAATGCATCCAATTAAATTCATAAATTAAAAAATTGAATAATGTAATTATAAAAAAGAATTAATAATAAAAAGTTATATAAATTAAAAGCACGATTTGATAATGTTTAAAGTGCCTAATACTTTTCAAGAATAAGAAAAAAAGAAAGCAATTTATTATAAATATCTTCTACACGTTATATTTAAAAATTAGGAAAACAATTATTAAGAAAATTTATTTAAGAAAATTTATTTCATTTTATTTGCGCATATACATAAAAATACTTTAATTATAATATGGTATATTTTTGTTAGGTGACAATGAGAGTGGGAAAACTACCCTTATAGCGAAATTACAAGGTGTAGAAGACCCAAAGAAAGGTTCCGGGCTAGAATTTGCATATATTGATGTGAGAGATGATTATCGAGACGGTTGGTTCAAAATTAACTTGGATACTCTGATTATTAATTGACAGGATATTTTGATAGATGTTGCGATATATAACTTCTTTGTAGATCACACAAGGCTGTCTGTATGGGTTCTGGATGGAGACCCGGGTCATGCAAATCTTTTGAGATTTGCTCTGAACAAAGAGAGGTTTCCGCATACACTTGTTATGTTAGTCGCTGCCATGACTACGCCATGGGCCATTCTTGATCAGCTTCAAGCATGGGCGGCATTATTAGGCGATCATATTGACAAATTACCATTAGATAATGATACTAGGCAACGGTGCAGGCAGCTTAGTAAGTAAATTAAAATGTAACAAATGTATAATACATAATATTGCACCATTGTTTCAATGTTAACACAAATATTGCATATTTCTTTGATTATTACTATATTTATTGTTTCAACTCTTAACTTTCCTTAATCTAAGATAGGAACCAAAATGCAATGTGCATTTTTATGTAGAGAATTTATTTTAACTTTGATATATATATATATGTAATATTGATATGCACAATTTTATTTTATTAGATATTAAGAAATGGCAAGACTACACAGAACCAGGAGATGAACTAGATCCTGGGAGTCCCTTGCGACGTACCAGTCGTAATTTGGATGATGACACTGCTGAGAGCTTACCTTTGCCAGAAGGAGTACTTACAACCAATTTAGGGCTAGATGTCGTCGTTGTCATAACGAAAACCGATTATATGTCCACTCTGGAAAAAGAACAGGATTACAAGTGCGTATTGAAGAATTCACTGCAACGTAAATCATTAGTACAAATATTAATCCTACATAATTTCTTTATTTCTATTTAGAGATGAACACTTCGACTTTATGCAGCAATGGATCAGGCGGTTTTGCTTGCAATATGGTGCAGGCCTCTTCTACACATCGGCGAAAGAAGATAAAAACTGTGATCTGCTGTATAAATATCTTACACATAGGATATACTCTTTACCTTTTAGGACACCGGCGTTGGTTGTTGAGAAGGACGCAGTACTTATGTAGGGTTATTCTTATATTTCTGAGATTACTTCTTTTTGTATGTTAACGATCATTATTTGCAGACCTGCTGGTTGGGATAACATGAAGAAGATTAGTATTCTACACGAGAATTTGCAATCCATGAAAGCAAACGATTACTATCGGGACGTTATTGCACAACCAGCGATAAATCGCAAAGTATGCTATCGTATTGTTTCTCTAATATAACTGATATAAGTATACAGTTCTCATATGACACAAATGTGATAGTCTAACATATTGACATCACCGATTTAGTGCATTGCCAGAGAAATGGAGATTCAAGCGGAGGAAGAGCAAGCTTTTCTCGCGCGACAGCAAGCTGCTCTATCCGGCTTAAAAGATCCCACTCGTTCTCCAACGACTCGGAATCAGGCAAGCCCTGGACCAATTATACAGGTTATACCATTTATAAGTAGAGCATGCTCTTCATGTTGCGTGTCAAATCAAAGGTATCACAGATGCTACTAATTTTCTCATCACATTTGCGAATTGTGCGAGTGATCCATTAATCTAATTCGTCGTCACGATATCCATTACAAAATCATTGATTTTATAACTTAGCATATGTTTGTTTCAATTGTTTCGTTCATTATGCAGTATAATATATTCATATACTTGTTTCGTTTATTCATATGATGATTCATTCAATGTTGAAAGCAGATGTATTTTTATCCTTTATGTTTTACAAGCCTATGCCTCTTAGAAGACCCATATTGCTTAATGTGTCTAATGAATTTGTTTAATAGAATGATAAGATTGCAATATATATATATATATATACGTACCATTGCTCGCGCGCTCGCAATCGATATCATTCCTGTCAAATGGATGATAATGGCAGCGACGATGGTTGATACAATGTTGCAGAGCAATGGCTTTCAGGCGAAAAAGAAAGAGGACACCGAGAATAAGGACAATTTGTGGTACGTGTCGTGATATTCACGTGAATATTATCCGTTTATTAAAATGCGACGCGAAACGAGAACGCCAGTTTGTCTCATGCTTCGTGAGAGAGATGGTCTTCCGCTTCATGACACATCCTATTATTGCGTGAGAAAAATTGAGCATTATCAATTCGCCTTTTATTCGATGTTATTTATATGCTTGGCAGGTCGTCTATTTTAGCGGAAGTGCAGAACAGCGGCAACAATAAGCTACCGTCAAACAAAAACGTCCTCGTTTTAGGTAAATGTCAACGAGATCCGATCGACCGTAGGGCGATATAGCACGCATATTAAGTATCTCTGCTGCTGCTAAATGCGTATGTCATCGATAGAAAAAAAGTGCTACATTGCCATATTTGTGCTAATGATTAATCGGAGATAAATCGATTTTTTCATTGTGATTTTTTTCATACACACGTGATACTTTAGTCGTAGCAAACTGACAGGTTATATCACAGTAATATCTGCATCCTTTACGATTTGCATACAGACATACTAATGCGTTTTAAGTATTACGTAAAAAAATATATTTGTCTTTTCTTGCGAATATTACTAGTAGCAAGTGTAATATATTCTTATTATAATAATTATTGGTAAATATGGAGATGTTTGTATGTGTGCTTAATGGTATATTTTTGTTAGGTGACAATGAGAGTGGGAAAACTACCCTTATAGCGAAATTACAAGGTGTAGAAGACCCAAAGAAAGGTTCCGGGCTAGAATTTGCATATATTGATGTGAGAGATGATTATCGAGACGGTTGGTTCAAAATTAACTTGGATACTCTGATTATTAATTGACAGGATATTTTGATAGATGTTGCGATATATATATATATATATGTATATATATAATAACATCATATCTCTGATATCAAGTCATTTATTTCATTTAACATGTAATAATTTAATCCTTGCCAATAGAGGATGTCGATAAATCATATATAAGACCTCCCAATAGTTGGCTGTAGAATACGTTATTGTTTAACAACCCATGTAATTTCAATTTTAATCATCATCTCGTGTGGTTATTCCAGTTAACATTTGGAAGCATGTTCTAATCTATGTGGTATGATCTGTCAATTCAGAATATAATATGCTTCGAAAATGGATGGACATTAACATTTTTCTGGATAGGTGGCATCGCCGAACAAGAAGCTGGATCCCAAGGGTGCCGGCGCGACGCCGTCCGGGGAAGGTGTCTTAGCTAATTTCTTCAATTCTCTCCTTTACAAGAAGACTGGAGTGCAGCCTGGTTCACCAGGAACGCCAGGCAGCGTAGGAACGAGTCCCCTGAAACTTGGTATGTTATAATAAATTTCTTTCTATATCGAAAATACTAAAAAGAACATTTCGTATCTCAGAGGCTACACCAGTGGATAAGGCGACGATGTGCAACGATGCAGCAGCGGAATTAGATCGTCTCACTCGGACCAAGAAAATTTCCCCACCCAATTTAAACTCGTCGTCTGAATGTTAAAGGTAACGCGCTTTTTCTTCGCGACCCTTCTTGTTGATGGAATGATAATCGAAGCTTCGCGCTGCCATCGGATAAAATTAAAACAAGAATTAAAAATTGGAATTCTTGTATCGTATTTGTTGCAATGAAATAGATCGCGCATGTACTGAAAACACAATGAACGAGCATAACGGTAAGATAGGTCGTGAAGAAGTAAAATTTATCTCTAATTAATTAATAATAGTCTAACCTGATAAAATCACAAAAGAGGGAGATTTAAAAAAGAAAAGAAGAAAAAAAATAAATTTATATAATCTGTGTCACACAACTCTGCGACAATCTCGAGTGTTGTGTTTGACTAAATATCAGACAGAAAACTAGCAAGTTATTAAATTAATGTAATTAAAATATTTAATATAATGATATTATATCGAGATATAGGCTTTACGCACATACCCCAGCGCCTGGTCATAGTAAATTATTTAGCAATCGCCCTTCGTATATATACGTGAAAACGGAAACGTGTTCGCTATATCCACACACGAATGCACATCTTTTTTTTGTCTCTTCTTTGTAAGCTAATATTTTTATTACGTGTTTCGTACTGGATTATTTCTCTTCACGAGATATCTCCATGACGACTCGTCACTGCATTCGGTCTAATTTTTACGACATAAGTGCCGTTAGCGCTGCGAATGTGTTGTGCGAATGCGTGAGATAGTCTTTTATACGAATTGTTCATAAAATACGCGAGACCTTTTAACAGAAGACGCAGTGCAGTCTTCATATATAGGAATAGTTAATGGTACGAGACTGGAATGGATGTTCATATCGCGCGTGTAAATTCGATAATTTCTTTGTAGATTTCAAACTGTGAGTATCTTACTCAGCTCACGCAAACAAATGAACAGAAATCTGTACATTCAGTTATCAATATATATAAATGTGGCTATATGTATATGAAATTTAAATTCTCGAAGAAAATAAATAATTTTTCGTATATATCGTCTCTTATACTCATCTTCAGCCAGAGTAACCATTTACTATACAAGTTTAGTTACAAGTTCATTGTGTGATATTTAATAAGGGATTTCGTATGGCAAGTTTACAAAATTCCTTTATTTCATTATTGGATATATTGGAATACATTAAAGCGATTAATAATGTAATATTATTTTGTTCTGTTGGACATAGTTTTGTGATATAACTTAGATTGTCACATTTTTATTTATGGTATCATATAATTCGCATTATGACTATGAAGGTTGATTTCTAAATAAAATTCAAGAAAGACAGTAATAAAATATATGCAAATACTGTCAACATAAGAATGCGAGTCTGAATAATCCTACTTTATATGTGTTTGTTTATTTCATATATTTGATACATATCGATATAAGCAATTTTCAAGAGACTGAGTTTATCGCCAAATAATTGAACATAAATTTGAAATCAAATATAATAAAATATCTATTTCAATTATTCAAACTCGGAAGGGATGCATAAACAAGAACACTACTATTACATAAAATATATACAAGAAATGCATAATTAAAATTGTCATAAAGGGAAAATGGGATAGATAATCGCGCCTCTATAATTAATATATAATGACACATAAATGCACATCGCTATTTCATAATTAATACATAATGATAATGATAGTTGTGCAATAAAATATCATTGTGCCAATGGCAGATCCACATTTTCAAGAATCTAAAACTAATATTTTTGGCTAAACCTTAATAAAGTTTGATTTATAAATCTATAACATGTGTGTATTTATTTATTACTAATATAGTTAATATAAAAAGCACTTAGGCCATACATATAATCAATATAAATTTTATATCGCTTATCATATAATTGTTACTTTAAAAAAATAAATAATAAATTTTTAAGTTGAAAAGATAATTGAAAAGAAGCTTTATTATTATCCTGCTATTGTAGATCTACCACTGCATTGCACCGAAAACATTTCTCTACCGATTAGATTAAAGTAATATATGGATAACATATCATATATTAGCAAATTGTAATATTTTAATGAACAATGATATTAATTATGTATAATCCTCATACGATTTATATTTTTTTTACATCAAAAGATAAAATAATTCACAAATATGATATTTTTTATTTATTAATTCTAACAATCTCTACATGGGAATTATTCAAGACAAATATAAAGATATTAGTTCTATGTATTAATAATAAATATCCGGAAGAACTCTCTTACGTCTACTGGATTTTTTTAAATTTTTATTTATGCAAAAAAAACAATGCTAATAAATGATAAATAAAAAGCTCTGTAGAAAACATACTGGAAATATGTTACATTCGTGTTTGAATAACCATACGGCTACATATATGAAACATAACTTTAACAGCATAATATATCATTTATCATGCAACAATTTTTTTTTCTTACTAGAAATATGAATATTAAATAATATAAGTGTGCTTACACTATATGTTTTTCGAGCTCGTTCAATCAATTGGATTACATTTTATTTATAAACTATTGCAAGCTCGAAAATGATCATTTCAGCATATACAGGGTATCCCAAATCTGCATGTTCAAACTGAAGGAGTAAATCCAACACGCCAAAGCAAGAAGCTTTTATAATGTTTCAAAACGTAATTCTTATCGTTTGAGTCATGACTTTTATGTCTTTAATATCTGAATTTGATAAAAATAGTAATACTTCATTTTTATAAATTTTGATTTGGGAAAGCGCTGTTTTGGGTGCCAAATAGAAAAGTTTCTTATTTTGATGTGCTGGATTCACCCCTTCAGTTTGGATATGCGGATCTGGAACATCCCATATATTGTTTTTCAGTTTTATGCAACTGGGCCATGTCTTTTTAAAACAATATTGCTCTATCGATTCAGCCTAATATAATCTTGTCAAAAATAAACGCCATCAAAAAGAAACTAGCCAGTTTTTTTCCCATGAAATGTCGCAAATAGTCGTAGATTATATAATTCGCCCATCGTATCGTAATCGCCCTAGGAAAATTCCAGCGCAATGCGGCCGGTGATAGTCTTTTTATTTTTAGTAGAGCAGAATGCGCTTGTCGACCGCTTTGCGACATATTGGACACTCCGACATACGATCGCCACACATTTGGCAGGTGCCGTGTCCACACAGGAAGATCATGTTTTTCAGACGATCCAGGCAAACCGGACACATAGTCTGCAACAATAAAACAATCGAATTTTCGCGACTTATCGTCTCATCCGGCATTTCCGTCTAAATTCTATCTTACTTAACACGAATAAATTATTTTATGATTCAAACTCCAAGCTTTTTTCTAATACAAGCTTTCAAGATTCTTCTAATTTAGAATCGATCTTTTCTTAACAAAAATATAATTGTATATGCCATTCTTTATTTATTTTTTTATATTTTTGTAACGTCAAGTATCTTTTAAATTTTTTATTATAGTTCACTTGAAGTCGAATGGAAAATAAGTCTTTCTAGTTAATTTGTAGCTCTTTCTTGTAATTGGCAGAATATAGACGTGAAAACTAAACAGAATGATAGATTGAAGTTATTTTGTGCGACAAAAAGACTTAGAATTTTCGAGAGGGCGTATATTCCGGTTCCTCGAGAACGAATGGTAATTGTACAGAGCAATTGCACGGTGCTGACTTCTTCCTTCGGCACAAACGAAATTATTCGTTTCATTAAAGCGGCGCATAACGAAGCGAGACGCAGAGGGGACACGTACCTGCTCCTTGATGTCCTGCAATTGCTGCTGTAGTTTTTGTATGTCGCTGTGGGAAGTATCTCGGCTGCCGTTGTTCATTAGGAGAGCTTCCCCAGCCACGGTGTTGTTCGAGGGCGTCGGCTCCTCCTCGGGATCTGCCGTGACTTCAGATATCGTTCCTTCATAGTGTAACAATCAATTTTTTAAAACAGAAAGTTCGCGAAAGCTAGACGATGCTCTTATTCATTACAACTGATATTTTTATTCGCGGTATATATTTAATGTTACTATATCAATACAAAATAAAATGTTTTAATTAAAAAGAATAATTAACAATAATTATGTAATATGTGACATAGATATTGAGCAATTTGCATTATAAAATATTGACAACGGAGAAATATAATATTAAAAAGTAATCGAATATAAAGTAATCTAAAATATTAGATATATATATGTCAACTATAAAACTAAAAAGTCATTTTGATTATTAAACTTGTAAGGTGAGAGCTTTAATCTCTCTAATTCATCCCCTCGGATCTATATGTTCAGAGCTAGACAGATAGATCGAGGTGAGCTATCTACTATGCTACTACGTTCTACATGGGAACAGTTTGATATATTCAGTGCGATTAGATAGAGGTCGAGGGGAGATATCAAGCGCGCTCTATGCAAAGTGGACGTTATACCTGAGGCGTTGCAACCCTTCACGTAAGTGACATCACCTCCACCGCCGCAGCAAACCGAGAGCGGAACCATGTGCTGTATCTGGGCCCGGCATTGCACGCACTTCTTCATCAGGGCCGCGCAGCCCTCGCAGGCGCACATGTGTCCGCACGGATGGAACAACATGCCCGCCTTGCGATCCGAACACACCACGCATTCTTCGATCTGGGAATAAATGTCCATTATTACGTGAAGGCGTGAACGGAACGTGCCTAGAATTTCGAGATCTATTCCAGGATAGAATCGAATTATCCGGTCAGCTATTATTACTCATCTATGTAAAGAGGAATTAACACGGCGTGAATTACATCGACGAAAAGAACGTAATTTATAGTACGATTAAAAAATGTTATTGACTAACACTTTAGGAAATCTTGATTTAAATCATTAAAAAAAGATGTCTGCTTCGCGTAAAACATGCAGAACGGATATGTAAAAATAAAATTGATTTTTCCCACAAACCGTCGAAAATAGGGATACTCGTAATTATTTTATTGACAATATTATTATTGAGATAAAATTTTTAAAAGTCGAAAACTAACGTAAAATATTAATCACCGTGAAGAATAAAATGTCAACGGCGTAAGTTACGGATAATAATGTATACAAAAGAATGTAATGGCGTCAGTAATATTTTACCTTTACTCTGGAAAGGACGTTTTCACGGCAGAGCAGACATTTTTTCACTCTCGGCGCACAGGCGTTGCAACAAGCCACGTGTCCACACGGACTGAACAGCATTTCTCGTTTGCCATCAGAGCACACGAGGCACTCGTCGATCGCCGCCGATGGGGTGACGATCTCGATGTCGTGTCTGGAAAAGAGAAAAATCGCACTCTAGTGAACATTATACTCAGAGATATAAAGATATGTATGAAATAATTGTACAAGAAATTGTACCTGGAACATTTAACTTAATCGAATTTGCAGGAAATATGGCGAGTTCGCGTTTAATCTTTCGCGATTAAATCCTTTGCCCTCTATGTATCATTTTAAATTAAACTTCCAAAAAAAATTTCTATGAATGTCGGTAACTGATTATCTTGTTAGGCAAAGTTTAAGAGAGAAGGACTCTCGATTACATTTAATAATATTTTTTATAAAACGGGTCCAACTTGAGAGATTAAGAAGCCAGAGATATTAAAAGATCAGGGAGCGTTGGATACTAACGACTCCTTATCTTTGTGACAAGTAGTGAGAGTCTTGCAGAGATTGGGATCCGGACAAAGATCCAAGGGTGTTTGACCCTTCTTGTTCTTTAGTTCCAGGTCGGCGCCGTGCGCTGCCAGGAAGCACGCGATGAAGGAACTACTCTTCTTGTCCTGGCCTTGAGTACCTAAACCCATCAATAGCCGTCCGACGTCCTGCACATCCTGCAGCTGTCGCAATTGCGACAGCGTGTGATGTCGAAGGGCCTCGTGTAAAGGCGTATCCCCGTCCTTATCGGCAACGTTAAGATTCGCGCCCTCGCGAACCAATAACTACGATCAGACAATCATATCGCAAATTAATTGTCGATTTTTCTTCGAAGAAGGATTTTTTAATTATCTTATTAGA